GTGGTGCCTCGGGGTTGGGCAGCCCCTGAGGGGGTCTGGAGGCAGTTTAGCCCCCGGCAGGGAAGCACGCAGCCCCTTCCAAAATGGCCTTTTTGCTGATCGATTGCTGGAAAACTCGTAGTGCCTCTCGGCATCCGATAGGGCAGGTCGAAGCGATCCTTCCCCGTCACCAGAAACCGGCCGCCTCTTCCTTTCTCCCTTTGAATTTCTCCTGCCCCTAAAAACGCTTTTGTTTTCCTTCCGTAGCCTTCCCGAAATGCGGCGCTGACGCTCCGGCCCCTCCCCAGCCTTCCGCCATGGCGGCCCACTTGGTGCGACGCTGCTGCTGGCGGCACCTCGGTGCCTTCGTGTCCCCTCCCTCGCTGCTGGCGCCGGCCGGGAAGGTGACGGTGGCGAGAGCTCTGCCTCAAGCTCCTCTCGCTTCGTTTCACGCTTCGAGCCCTTCCAGCTGGGCGGATGGTTTCTCCGTCAAAGAGCAGGTGGAGGATAGAAACCCAGAGCACAAAGTGTTGGGGGAACTGATCGAGACGGCCGCGAGCCCTCAGGAACTCTTCCAGCTGAGCGAACTCCACACTCTTAACAGCAACCAGGCCTCGCTAATAATTACTCAGCTTTCTCGGCTCGCGGCAGAAAAAAAACTGGAAACGGAGAGCATCCTGCAGGATGAACGTTTCAAGCAGCTCCTGAGCATCACGGATTCCCAGGTAAGTTCTCTTCTTGCTGCAGAAGAGGTTTGGGGAAACAACACGAGGTGGGAAGTGGTTGGTGCTCCTGGGGTTGAACCGGCCTGGCCAGCTGCTCCTTGGAGTTTTGTGCTTTACCTTTCCAAGTGAAAAAAAAAAACCGAAGCTGAGAGGATCAGGAGGGGAAGTTACCAGCTCTAGGCAGAACATCTGATTATTTCTATTTAAAAACGCTGCTTTTGATACCACAGACAAAATGTAGCAGGGAGATCGCCCTTTTTAAACGGTGCCTTGCTCCTGTCCCCGTGAATTTTAAGCTCTCTCAGTAAGATAAAGGTGCTGGATAGCAGAGGGGGCTTCCACAACTTCTCTGGGCAACCTCTACCAGTGTCTCACCACCCTCATGGTGTAGAGTTTCTTCCTAATATCTCATCTAAATCTCCCCTTTTTCAGTTTGAAACTCCTACACCTCATCCTGTCGTTACAGAACTTGGTAAAAAGTCTGTCCCCATCTTTCTAATAAACCCTTTTTTATACTGAAAGGCCCCAATAAGGTCTCCCTGGAGCCTTCTCCTCTCCAGAGGGTGGAATAGAGGGCGAGAATCCCCTCCCTCAACCTGCTGGCTGGGCTGTGCGTGGGTATCGACAACTTGTGTCCCATTCACGTCTCATTTTTCACCTACCAGTATCGCCAAGTCCTTCTCCACCAGGCTGTTCTCCATCCACCCATCCATCCATCCATCCACCCATCCATCCACCCACCCATCCATCCACCCATCCATCCATCCATCCATCCATTTATCCATCCATTTATCCATCCATCCATCCATCCATCCACCCATCCATCCACCCACCCATCCATCCACCCATCCATCCATCCATCCATCCATTTATCCATCCATTTATCCATCCATCCATCCATCCATCCACCCATCCATCCACCCACCCATCCATCCACCCATCCATCCATCCATCCATCCATTTATCCATCCATTTATCCATCCATCCATCCATCCATCCACCCATCCATCCACCCACCCATCCATCCACCCATCCATCCATCCATCCATCCATTTATCCATCCATTTATCCATCCATCCATCCATCCCTCCATCCATCTTCACCCCCACTTTGTACTGGTTGGGGTTCTGGGGTTACAGGTGTTCCGCAGACACCTCCTATTTCTCCTGATCCCCAAAAAAAAGGGTAATAGAGAGCTGGGATTTGTCCTGAGGGTGCCTGGGTAGCTCCATTGAGCTGAAACGCTTCCGTACCGCTGGATTTGGGGTGTGAGTGCTGCTCCTGCTGCTCTGTGTGCTCCTGTGTCGCTGTTGCCGCAGACCGAAGGGGAACAGACACCCCGGAGCCGGCCAAGATGAGTTGTCGCGCCGCAAGAGCGATGCAGCACGGCCCGAGTGTAGGAAACCGCTCGAATCCATGTGGTTGGGGGTTTTGAGATGCAAACCAAGCAAAATCCCTGCTAACAAGGTTGTCCTTCTCCGGCAAGCTGCCATTGCGGCCGCAGATGACAGAGAACTTTCTGTGAGGGCAAGGATACGTTCTGAAGGGTCCATCAGAGCCGAGGTTACGCTGAGGATCGAGGGGTTTTTAATCCAAATCGGAAGAACTTGCTTGCTGGATTTGCCTTTTCGTGCTGCGCGGCGTCGGCAGAGCACGGCCGGGGAAGGTTGGGCTGGAAATAAAGAGGTGCCGCCGCCGGCCTGGCAGAGAAGTTCGGAGCGTGGGACTGGGCAAGTCCTGGTGCTCCCAACAACCGATGGGTTCCGTGCCCAGAGAAACTGGAGCTTTTAGGATAAATTCTCTGGGTGCTGGGGCAAGTCGGAGTCCCGCGGCGTTCCGCTGAGACACGTTTCTCAATTATAAGTCCCCGTTGATGCTTTGTAGAGAGAGGGGGAGCGCGGCCTCATGTTTAACATGACTGGCGACTGAATCCTCTCTGATCAACACCTTTCCCTTCTTTCTCTGCGCTGCCCAGATCGCTCAGGTGTGGAACAACACCGTGGTGAACCTCCTGAAGAGCCTCTACTCCCTTGGCGTGGACGGCAGCTGTCGGGAGATGCAGTCAGTGGAGCAGGAGGTGCTGTGGAGGCTCCGGCGCCTCACCTTCCGGCAGCTCGCCTCCCTGGCCGAATTCTTGGCCGTCAAGCAGGGAAAAGAGAGCAAACTGCTCAACGAGGTCATCAAGAAGCTGGAGCTGCGTTGGACGGAGCTCGAGGGCACCCGAACCGTGGTGACGTTGATGGGGAAGGTCGGGCACATCTCCCCGGCATTGATGGACCGGCTGGAGGACAAGGTACGAGCTTAGACTTCCCCTTCGAGAATCCCACACGGGCTGTGCTCGCTGCTGCTCCAGAGCACTTTGGTGCATCCTTACACGTTGTTTTTTAAGCAGCTTCCCGGGCCTGGGGGCCAAAAGCACCGTCCTTTGCTTCTCTGACCGAGCCAGGCCGTGAGGGGCGTAGGAATGCGAGTGCCTGGG